CTCAGTGTTTCTTCCGCGACCACACCACTGTCACACCTCTTTCGGCTCCAGTCCCAGTTGCCCTGGCTGATCCTACTTCAGGACCAGCAGTTGCTCGTAGCTCGACCACCCTCCCGTGCCCGGCTGTCCCCTCTGGTTTCCTCACTGGTCTCTACATCCCCTCGTTCTCTCGGAACTTGGTGGGTGTTGGATACCTTCAGGACCGGGGGATCACAGTCACTTTTCCTGCGCACGGGAGGACTGCGATCTGTACGGACTCTTCCACCGGGGCAGTTCTTGCCACGTTCACCAGAGAGCCCCACTCAGGTCTCTTCGTCCTGCACACTCCGCCCCCGCAGGTAGCTGCGTCTGGTCAGGTTGCTTCGTCCCCCCCGGTAGCAGAGTCCGGTCAGGTGGCTGTGTCCAGTCCGGTCGCTGTGTCCAGTCCAGTCGCTGCGTCTTGCTCCTGTCGCTCTCTCGCCCACCGCACCGTCCTGTGGCACCACCGTCTTGGCCACCCGTCGATCCCTCGCCTTCGTGGCATGCTCAGTCAGGGACTAGTCACAGGTCTCCCACGCACCTTCCCGTCGCTCCCTCCCTCGCTTGCCCCTCCTTGCTCTCCGTGCGTCGCCGGTCGCTTACGTGCCACTCCCCACTCCTCCTCCCTTCGTCCGGCCACCGCTCCCTTCGAGACTCTCCACTTGGACGTCTGGGGCCCTGCCCCGACGCAGGGGTCTGGGAGGGAGCGCTACTTTCTGGTGGTCGTCGACGACTTCTCCAGGTACACCACAGTGTTTCCTCTTGCGAAGAAGTCCGAGGTGACTGCTACGCTGATCAGGTGGCTTCTAGCCACTGAGGGCACTCGTGGTCGTCGAGTCAGTTGTCTTCACTCCGACCGTGGGGGCGAGTTTCGCTCCGGCATTCTCGGCGGATTCTGCGGCGAACAGGGCATCACCCAGTCCTGGACGCTGCCAGAGTCCCCACAGCAGAATGGGGTTGCTGAGCGCCGCATAGGCTTGGTCATGGACATCGCCCGCACGTCCATGATTCATGCCCGTGCGCCCCATTTTCTGTGGCCTCACGCGGTTCGCTACGCCGCACACCAGCTGAACCTCCAGCCGCGTGTCTCGCGGCCCGAGGCTTCACCGACCAGTCTCTGGACTGGATCCCCTGGTGTTGGGTCGGCCTTTCGAGTCTGGGGCTACCTTGCACTTGTTCGCGACACCTCCGCGGACAAGCTCTCGGCACGCGCCGTCCCCTGTGTCTTCCTTGGTTTCCCAGTGGACTCTGCTGACTGGTCCTTTTACCACCCTCCCCTCCACCAGTTCCTAGATTCCCGTGACGTCCGGTTTGACGAGTCCGTGTCCTACTACACCCGGTACCCCTGTCGAGGTCTCTCGGTACCCCCTCCCCCTCTCTTCCTCGCACCCTCTCCTCCTCCTGCTCCCGCTCCTCCGGTACCCCCGCCCCCCCCTGGTCCTGCCCCGTCTGGTGTGTCCCACGCTACCCCTCTCCCCTCGGTCGTGCGTCAGGTAGCGTCTCCCTCCCCGCAGTCCTCCTCACAGTCCCCTCAGCAGCCTTCGGCACTTCCGCGACAGGTTACTGTGGACTCGGTTGGTGTTGGAGCTGGAGGTGCAGCCGCTGGCGGTGCTCGGTCGCGGGGTACTGGAGCTGGAGGTGCTGGCGCAGGTGACGCTAGCTCTGGGGGTGCTGGAGCTGGAGGTGCTGGCGCAGGTGGCGCTAGCTCTGGGGGTGCTGGAGCTGGAGGTGCCGGCACTGGAGGTGCTGGTTCTGGGGGTGCTGGAGTTGGGGGTGCTGGCACTAGCGGTGCTATTTCTGGGGGTGCTGGAGTTGGAGGTCCTAGCACTGGCGGTACTGGTTCTGGGGGTGCTGAGTCTGAGGAGACTGACGCTGGAGACCCTGGTTCTGCGGAGTCCACCCCGCCCCCCCACCGCCACGACACGCGTCTCCAGGCTGCCCGTCGGCGTGAGCGTGAGGAGCAGGAGCGGTTGGAGAGGGAGCGGCAGGAGCTGCGGGTGCTGGACCTTCTGGAGCAGCAGCGGCAGCAGCAGCAGCAGCAGCAGCAGCAGCAGCAGCAGCAGCCGCAGCCGCAGCCGCAGCCGCAGCAGCAGCAGCAGCCGCAGCCGCAGCGGCCGCAGCCGCCACCGCAGCTTCCTCTAGAGCGGCGGTTGTTCCCACCTGTGAGTGGCTTGCGGGCCCTTGGCCTTTCCTCCTCTCCTCCTGTCCGCTCTCAGTCTCCTCCTGTGTTTGTTCCTCCGTTGCCTCCTCCTGACGACCGTCCGGCGGTCTGGTCTTCTCCTCCTCCTCAGTCTCCTCCTCCCTCTGTCCGTCGCGACTTGATCACTCGTTGTCCTCCGCGTGCTCGTCACTCGTCCCCTGTTACTGACCTCCACACTGCCCTCCTTTGTTCGTCTCGTCGTCGTTCTCCTTCTCATGTGTCCGTTCTCCCGTCTCCTCCTCCGTCCTCTCTACCTGCCCTCCCCACTCCTATCTCTGACTACTACCGCGCTGTTCGTCCTGTTGCCGCACGTGTCCTCACCACTCTTGTCACCGACCCTCGTTTCCCTCCGTCGTCTGTCTCGGCTCTCACTGCCGCTGTCGCTGAGTTTGCTGCCGCCAGCCGCCTTGACTACGCCACCCGTGTGGTGCCAGCTCCTCCCTACCGTCCTCTGTCCGTCGGGGGTGGGTTTGCCCTTGGCTGTGACGTCCTAGAGGACAGAGAGTCTGAGCTGGAGTACTGGGCAGCCGCTTCTCCCTCTGTGTGTGCCATGCTGCTCTCCCCTGAGGGAGACCCCGACGCCCTTGACATACCGACTCCTCGCACTTACCGCGAGGCAGTGTCAGGGGCGTGGGCCTCTCAGTGGAAAGCGGCTATGGACTCAGAGTTGGCGTCTTGGAGATCCACAGGCACCTACGTCGACGCAGTTCCCCCTCCCAGGGCGAACGTAGTCGATGGCATGTGGCTCTTCAAGGTGAAGCGGCCGCCTGGAGCACCGCCGGTGTTCAAGGCGCGCTACGTGGCTAGGGGTTTCAGTCAGCGTGAGGGAGTTGACTTCTTCCAGACCTTCGCCCCGACCCCGAAGATGACTACTCTTCGGGTGTTACTCCACATAGCAGCGCAGCGAGACTACGAGCTGCACTCCCTCGACTTCTCCACTGCGTTCCTCCAGGGCCGACTGCACGAGGAGATCTGGCTGCGCCGTCCTCCTGGCTTCACTGACACCTTCCCACCTGGGACCCAGTGGAGCCTGAGGCGACCAGTCTACGGTCTCCGACAGTCGCCCCGTGAGTGGCACGACACTCTTCGCTCCACGCTTTGTGACCTTGGGTTCAGCCCGTCCTCCGCCGACCCGTCGCTGTTTGTTCGAGCGGGTTCTACTCCTTTCTTTATCCTTGTCTACGTCGACGACTTGGTGTTTGCTACAGCAGACAGGGCAGCCCTGGCTCAGGTGAAGTCCGAACTGCAGAAGAGACACAAGTGCACTGACCTGGGTGAGCTGCAGCGCTACCTTGGCCTGCAGATCACCCGGGACAGAGCCGCTCGCACCATCACACTGACGCAGTCACACATGGTGCAGCAGGTCCTTCGGCGGTTCCACTTCCAGTTCTCCACCACACAGCCCACTCCTCTTGCTGTTGACCACAGACTTACGGGCCCCTTTCCTGACGAGCCCTTTGAGTCCAGTGGACCCTACGCAGAGCTGGTGGGCTGCCTCATGTACCTGATGACTTGTACTCGACCGGACCTCGCCTTTCCACTCAGCATCCTTTCTCGCTTTGTTGCGACTGGGAGACACCGCCCTGTCCACTGGACAGCTGCTGTGAGGGTGGCGAAGTATCTGGCGACTACATCAGGCTTGGGGCTTGTGCTTGGAGGGACTCAGCCAGTGGCGTTGACTGGTCACTGCGACTCTTCCTACGCTGACGACGTGGAGACTCAGCGTTCGACTCAGGGTTACTGCTTCAGTCTGGGAGCTGGTGCTGTGTCGTGGAGGTCTACACGGTCGTCGTCTGTGGCTACTTCCAGTGCAGAGGCAGAGATCTACGCTGGTGCCATGGCGGCACAGGAGCTTCGCTGGTTGACCTTCTTGCTCGCTGACCTTGGTGAGCGGCCTCGCTCTGCACCGACCTTGTACGCTGACAACAAGGCCATGATCCTCCTGTGTCGAGAGCCTCGACTGGAGAGCAGAGTGAAGCATATTGACGTGAGGTACTTCCTCCTGCGAGAGCTGCAGCGACGCGGTCAGGCACGCCTGGACTTTGTGGCCTCAGAGGCCAACACTGCAGACGTCTTCACCAAGGCCTTGGCGCTTGGTGACCACCACAGGTTCTGTGTGCAGTTGGGGCTTGTTGAGGTAGGCCCTCGGTTGGTGTAGTCCTGTTGCTTGCTCTGCTTGTTGTGCTTTGTATTTATATCCTAGTGAACTCTTGAACTGGCCTTGTGGCCGCTTGCTTGCGCTCGGAATTTGTGTGGTGTCCTTGAGATCCACCCTGAGCTTGCCTTGGTTCTTGGTTTGACTGGTCTTGTGACCGTTTGTTCACCTTGCTTGCTTTGATGCCCCTCACTTAGCCTATGGGGGTGTGTCAAATGTTGAACATTGATATGATAGGCTATAATGAGTTGCACTCTAGGGGGCACAGCTTCTAGGGTTGCTCATTTGTACCCCATTCGTTTCTATTCCAATCATTCCGTTGTTCGCTAACTTTGAGACCCGGGTATGTACCCCCAGGGTGTGCGTTTAAGGGGTGTGCAATTATCGAGAATAGGGTGTAGGGGCAAGGTGGCAGTGGGAATTGGCACTGCAGCGAGGAGTAAAGAGGGAGACCGCAAAACGCTACAGCGAAACCACGGCGAATGAGTTGAAATTGCAGCTGGCAAGAACATGTGAAGGTGCATGCATGCACATGATTCTACCTGATTGGCTGTTCTACTTCAAACAGATCGCAACATCTCTACATCTGTTTCTGGAATAGAATTGCAGCAGTAGGTAATCAAAATGCTATTCCATCCCTTCAAACGCAATGGCATCCAGGGTCCCATTCTCCACTATCTCATTCACCACCCCCCTCTTCAGCTTATCCCCAGATTGGTGGAAAATACACGGAAATGCCTTAGTGACCCTGGAATACACCTTGATCTCCGCTCCCTGCCCCTGCACTTCAAACTGCTCGAATCGCCGCCCTCCCAGCAGCTCCATCAGAGCGTTGTAGTGGTCCAGCTTGATGAACGGCGGCGGCGCTGCCTGCCTGGCCGCCTCTAGCTTCTCCGGAGTGACATCTTGTGGAATCAGGTCTTGTAACGGGCCAGGTAGAGCGCAATAGCATCCAAGGTCCCATTCCCCACTATCTCATACACCACCCCGCTCGTCGTCTTATCCCCAGACTGGTGAAAAACACACGGATACGCCTTGGTCACCTTCGAGTACACCTTGATCTCCACTCCAGTCCCTTGCACCTCATATTGTTCCGACCTCCTCCCTCCCAGCAGCTCTATCAGTGCATTGTAGTGGTCCAGCTTGATGAACGGCGGCGGCGCTGCCTGCCTCGCCTCTTCCAGTCCTGCCGGGGTGACGTTTTGAGGAATCAGGGCTTGCACCTGCCCAGGAAGAGAGCAGAAGTACCGCAGCGTGCCGGGCAGAGGAGCAGCAGACGGGGATAAAGACGAATCAGAATCAGCAGACGAGTCACCAAAGTCTTTGGTGGCTGGTTTGGTGACTCCGTGGCTGTCTGTTACTGGGTCGGGGTACGGCGTGCGTGGGAGGGAGTTGAATAGGAATGGCTGGGCCAAATATGCCGCCACGAATTGCCTCTGATCCTCCATACAGTCACTTGTATACGTCGCATCCATCATCTCGCCTAAAGCCCACGCGTACCCGACATAGGACCCTGCGTTAACGTGTCGGTTCGGAAAGGGAGATTTCAGCTGCTGAGGGTAGAAAGGGATAACATCACTCGTTGGATATGCGAATATCTCGGCGCCGAAAACGATAGGAGCGTTAAGAGACAGAAACGCCCTGACTAACGAGTCTGGTCCGCATAGCTCCCTGTTTGGCAGCAGCAGGACGTCATCAGCATCTGTTACAATCACAATTCGGTCTTTGGGCAGTGTCCTTAGGTACTCTCGATAGTATCTCACACGACCACCTAGGCCCTGCCAGGTCTCATTCAAACCCAGCACCGCGAGCTGAATCCCGTTCATCTCGCAGAACTTAGCTAAGCGTTGAACGCCTTTCCCACACCGGGTGGAGAAAGTGATCCATTCGATGCTGCAGTTGGAGTAGGTGAAAGCTGACGTTGGCTTTAAGTCGCGAGGGTCTACTGTGGGGTCATACGTGACTCGACAGCCATCCCTTCCCCCATTGTCTGCCACTCCCTCGCTGCTGCTGCTCTTAGCGCCACTGTGACGCCCCCAGCTTGGATCGGAGATGATTCTGGATGATCCTGGATCGGCAGCTGCCACTTTCCTCCCCCTCATACTGCCTTTCTTAAAGCTCTTGATGTAGCTGCTACTGCTGCTGCTGCTGCTGCTGCTGCTGCTGCTGCTGCTGCTGCTGCTGCTGCTGCTGCTGCTGCTGCCGCTGCTGCTGCTGCTGCTGCCGCTGCTGCTACTGCTGCTGCTGCTGCCGCTGTCAGAACCACCCTCCTGCTGCATCATGTTCCGCCAATGAATTCTGTTTCCGTTTTCGAGGCCTGCTTTACCACGAACGGCAGCAGCGTTCACCACATCAGAGCATGCAATACCGCGGAAAAAGGCCGTCCCAGTGTGAATCCCTCGATAGGCAACACCCACGCCAACACATGAGTCTAAGTAATCGCGAACTATCACCACATCTGGGCTCACGCGGGAGGAAAACTTATACAGCCAGAGCATCAGCAGTGCTAACGAGGCGGTGGCGACAAATGTTACCACTGAGGCTCCCTTAGCTACACAACAGAGCAAAGACAGAAATCGCGAGCGGGAGGGTAGACTGAGCCTGGCAGACATTGCGGCGATTGTAGTACGAATATGTCTAGTAGTTGTACCGATCTGGCACGACTGATTGTACCGTAACAAGCAAGAGAATGGAACTTAGGTTAGTACGAAATCCCTGGCTCGGAAACAGCCATAAAATACTCCATTCGAATTGCCCGCGCTTTCACTAGCGCCGCGAGCCAAATCCATGCCTGGGGGCCTTCGATAGGCGGTCCGGGTTGGTGCAAGGCACCGCCAAAATCGGCGACGCTGCGGAGGAATTGCACACACACTCGTGGGAGGGGGTTCTCGCTGACAACATAATGTCGGTCGCACCGGCTACTAGGGTATGCAAACCAGCGTTTAATTTCGCTTCGACAGAATCATCTTGGGTTTGAACCGCAAGACTAGCCGACGATTCTGTAGATGATTTTATTTCGGCGGGAAACATCGCCAGGCCGTCTGCGATTTTAGTGATTACTATTTCCGTCACGGGATGACATTTCTCCCGGGGAAAATTCGTCAAACCTAAAGTTTTGGCGATCCCGCCACGGAAGGAGATTTTCGCAATTCGCGGATAAGTCTTTCCAAGTCAAACGCTGAACGTTCATGGGGGGTTTCAGACCTTGTGTGACCTTGGATAGTAGTAGAAACTAGACCTAGGGCGTGCAGCTGCCCCTGCGTGAATCAACACGACACGACACGAAGAGACATCGGCGTGCATCGTACTACTGTACACAGTCTGTAGTATCATGACTGAGCCAGAGCCCCCCCGAATAGGGAGTCGGCGGAATGGACGGTGACGCTATCTAGTTAGCTTGGCAAATGGCGACTCGTGTGCTAGTACCGTAAGCCCGAAAGGTAGTTGGCAAGATGGTGGTGACAGAAAATGCTGAGTCGGAGTCTCGCACATGCCTGCCTTGTTCGTTGGAGTCAACCAAAGTAGCCCAGCGAAGTTATTCGAACAATGCAGAAGGGTTTGAAGGTTTTATCGTATCCTCCGTACATGCTACCCCGGGTTCTGTGCTAAAACTCTGAAAATGAATCTGAAATCTGCTAAAGATTTGTGTTAGGCCCCTTGGCCTACATCCGCTAAAGAATAGCGGGGTTGACTAAATTGAGAATGAAGTGCGGCGGAAGAATTTGGCGAAGGAAGTCTTAGCGAAATATGCGAAGAAGTAACTGAGTAATAGTTGAATGAGAATTGGTTGATTTGCAAGTACAAGCAAGGTTTAAGTAGCATACAAGAGCGATTGTTGGAAAGCACTTCGTGGGACTAGAAAGTAGAAGGCAAGAAACTAGAGTGCCACGTGGCATTAGGAAATCCAAGAAGATAAGATGATGATAAGGTTGGGAAGTACTGTTCAGAATGAACAGTAAAACCCCCTGCAACACCTGTGCTCTATGTATTTCTGTACACTAGGTTGCTGGGCTGCTCTGGTTGACTCCAACGGGCACGGCATTCTCCCGGTGGAAGATGTATTGCACCCCACCTGACCTAAACAAAACAAAACCCAATCGGATAAGGAAGCAACTCTGATTTATTCTTTCTGCCTTGCTGTAAGGAATTTTTCAGCATTCCTTACCGCGTTCTTCAACATCGCGTACAGCAGAAGCCGTTGTTCCGCCGTTACTGCTAACGGGGCTTCGCCAACTTTGCGCGCACTGTTTTGCCAAACCTTGCACTGCTGGCCTGGCCGAGTCGGCCCACGCTTCGGGACTAGCCCGAACCTCGATGCCAGCCTAGCACTAGCTAGCTCGCATGCACCGCGTAAACGTTGCATGTTTCGCACATAAGTATTCGCTCATATCTTCGCTCATACTTCGTACTCGTTTGACACCTAGTGCAATCCTCGCTACTTCGATTCATTGCACCCATAACACTTGGTAATCAGAGCCTCTTTCCTTTTCGGACCGCGCATCTCCGCACCCAGAGAAATCAACTTTTGATCTTTGCACTCGAAGGGACTCACGCCCCTTAGCGCCTAGGAGCCGCTCCTCGCGTTCTCTCGTAAACGCGTGCAGCCACGACTGCGCCTAGAGCTAAGACGAGCCGTCGTCCTTCGACATGGCCAAACATATCGATGTCACGAACCTCACGCAGGAGCGTATGAACGAACTGCTGCAGCAGCTGCGCGAAAGTTCTGAGGAAATCGCGGCACTGACGGCAGAACGTACGTCCCTGCAAAACGACGTCGCACGAGCGCAACAAGCACAATCACAGACACAAGGCACGCACGGACAACCTGCACGACAAGAATCACAACACGGAAGTGTGGGGCAACCCTCGAGCGCGGCTAGTGATGGCGTCGTCCGCAACGACGGAGACGACGACCACGGCGCGATACACCCCGAGGCGACGAATGCGGCCAGAAGCCAACCTCGCGTCACGATTTCAGTGCCGACCGGCGAGTCAGCACTGCCGTCGCCGATGCCGCTTAAGCCGTAGCGTCCGCCTTGCTTCGACCCAAGTCAGCGGGGTGGTCCGACCCTTCAGGCGTGGTTGTTCACGATGAACGTATTTTTTTACGCCAACTATGTCTCGGAGGACTCGGCGAAGATTCGATACGTCGTATCGCTGCTGCGAGGACCCGCCATGGACTGGTGGCGCGTCATCGTCACGAAGCCGGTGGACTACGCGACTCTACTGACACGGGAAGGACAAACCGGACCGTGGGCGCCGTCGTATTTCGTGGAGGTGGCCCAATATCGCACGTGGGACGCGTGGTGCGCAGGTCTGCGCACACGATTTGAGCCAATTGCGGCTTCGATCGCGGCGCGCCATAAGCTCCGCACTTGGCGCCAGCTCGGTTCCGTCCAAGACTACACCAGCGGGTTTCTAGCGATGTGCGAGCAGGTGGGCTACATGCCCGAGGGCGCACGCATCGACCTCTACATCGGCGGCCTGAAACACGAAATCGCCCAAGAAATCCAACTCCGCAACATCACGGAATTTCAGGATATTCTCGCCATGGCGGAGAAGCTTGACTTCTTACGCCGACCGAGACCGGGGTCCTATGGCAACAACAGTAACTGGGGACATCGGTCTCGTGGGACGAACGAGCACGCCACGATACGCGTCGTCGCCGCGAATGCCGCTGCCGTACCGTTCAAAGGGTGCTGCTTCGCGTGCAACCAGCCGGGACACCGTAAGAGCGAATGCCCGGAAAACGCTAAGGGAAAGGGGGAAGCTGAGCAGCAGAAACAGACCAAGCAGCAGGGAAACGCTGGGAGTCAGTAGCAGACGGGCCCTCTACTGACAGGTCACGTTGCTCACCCGACCCAAACGACACTCCCTGAGTGATTGTGCCGGTTCACGCAATCGACCACACCCGGTCGAATAAGGAGGGTACATCGGTAGACAGCCCCATACTGCTTAACGGGAAAATACAGACAGACTTAGTTAAAATCTTCGTAGATGGGGGGGCTAGCCACAGCCTGATCAACACCGCGACAGCACGGAGACTGGAACTGCCACTGGTCAGATGTTTACCTGAGATCGACGCACGACTGGTCGACAGCACGCCACTGGCGATACGGGAACGTGTGGACCGAGTTCGGATCCGATGCGGGGGTAATTTTACCTTTACCCAGAAAATGCTCGCAACGACCCTCGACGGGATCGACATCTTACTCGGCCGTGATTGGCTGCGACGACACAATCCGCGAATCGACTGGACGACGGGTGATTGCACCGTGCGAGTGAACGGTAGCAACATCGCCTTACCTCGCTGGAGCTCGCCCGAGTCTTCGCCGGTGCGTGTCAACGCGATCACGATGAAACGCGCCGTAGTGATAGGAGCTGACGTGTATGCGGTTGACATCCGGGAAGCCGTGGCAGCAGACAAACCGAGCGATTTACAGAAACTGCTCGCCGACGTACCGGATGACTTGGCAAC